ATAATGATCGCTAAGCGTTACTCGACAATTTCTCGAATGTCTCGAGTATTTACGTAGCTTCAGCGCGATTTGCTACGTAAACAGCGTTGTTTCGATTACAAACGGCTAATCGAAGCTTTCTCTCCCAATTACTAACCTAAAAACCTTAAAAAAACGTAAATATCTTTATTTTGTCCGCTTTGAATTGCTTGGAATTTTTCGCGTATCCTAACCTAAAACACTAACCTAACCTTTAAAAAACGTACACTAACCTAAAACACTAATCTAACCTAAAAAAAAACGTAAATATGTTTACTTTGTCCACTTTGAATTGCTTGGAATTTTTCGCGTATCCTAACCTAAAACACTAACCTAACCTAAAAAAAACGTACACTAACTTAAAACACTAATCTAACCTAAAAAAAATATATAAATATGTTTACTTTGTCCACTTTGAATTGCTTGGAATTGTTCGCGTATCTTAACCTAAAACACTAACCTAACTTAAAAAAAACGTAAATATGTTTACTTTGTCCACTTTGAATTGCTTGGAATTGTTCGCGTATCCAGCACGAAGCTGTTTTTCAAACAGTCCCTGGTGTTCCAAGATTTAGGGTTTGAAAAGTTTCCCGAAAGAACAGCGAGAAGAGCAAACGTTCGAATTAACGTCGGGCTGTAAGACGAAGCCAGCCACGGCCAGACAACGGAGTGGAACCGTCGCTTCGACGTATCGAACGACCGACCGACTCGTTCCTCGATAATTCCATCAAAAAGTTGCCACGTGAAACTGTTGCAGCCGGTGTTGCTTTTCACACTGTGCTATTCAACTACTGTTAAACGAAAAGTTTCTCATGCGTTATCGTGCAGGGACATCGTATCAGAAAAAAAAGAAAGAAAGAAAGAGGAGACAGAGAGGGAGAGGGGAGAGAGGAGGAGGTAGATTGAATTGTCGAGGGATCCGATTGACCCACGTGGTGTCGCTCGCCGGAAGCCCGGTTCCCGAACCTCCGCTTCCAGCTGCAAGTTTACGCGAAACGTGTTTCGATTTCGCGATATTTCGTCGAAACGGACTGAACGGTGGAAAGTTCAAATACACGTCCAACGTTCCGGCGAGAACGGAGCGAATCGACTCGAGCAACGCGTTACGACTGAAGTAGGGATGGGCTCGAGTAGCTCGCGAGTAGTTCGAAGCTCGAATCATTCAATTCGAATACTCTCTACGAGTGTTCCGAATGTGTAATTCCGAATTCAAAGTCGGGATACGTTAGTTTCGAAACGATCCGCGAGTACAAAGTAGTCGAAAGTACGAAACTTTGATATCGAACTCGAATATTCAGATTCGCAAGTGTCGAATTTGGCACCATCCCTATGAGACTAGAGCTGGTACTTTTGCCCGAATATGATGAGATAATATTCGGAGACATTTCGTATTCAATTATTCAGATATCTTACGAGATACTGAGAATTGAGGTTAGAGTTATTACTACTTAAAGTTGTTGAGGTTAGGTTACTACCATTAACCGGACGCTCGATGTCTTTGTGACGAATTATAATTTATGTCCACTGGAATGGCGGAGAATTGAAGATAGAAAAATATTTAAATGCATTAATAATATCCGTCGGCTTTGGAAGAATGTTTCTTCACAACTGGAAATACCGTTAGTTCAAGGTTTGACGAATCTTACTATTGGAAAATCTAGACTTATTTCTAATTCAAAATAATTATTTCATTGTTTTATTACTCGCTGCTAATGCATAAATTATATATATTGCGGGCATCCGAGTAACACGAGTAGAAATAATAAATATGTAGTCTCAATTTGTCTTAATGTGCCCGAATATTCTCAACTCGATCGTAATTTTATCCGATGTCTTTGTGAAAAATAATAAAACGAATTATAATTTATGTCCACTGGAATGGTAGAGAGTCGGTGAAAGAAAAGTATCCAAGATTGACAAAATTTGTTGAAAAATATTTAACATACACCAGCGATATTTGCCAGCATCTGGAAAAATGTTTTCCATGACTGGAAATATTGTTGGTTCAAGACGGGCTTACTACAAAGGAAAAATTCTGTACTTGTCAATATATTTCTGTACAAAGATAAAGACGTCCAATTTAAAATAATTGTTTCATTTATTACTTATTGCTGAAACGTAAATCCAGAGTCTACCACTAGAAAATCTGGGCTTGTTAATATCTTTGTGCAAAGATGAAGACTCATTTCTTCGATAATTCAACATAATTATTTCACTGTTGAAACGTAAATTACATTCAGAATCTATTACTGGAAAATCTCGACTTTTTGTACAAAGATGAAGACTCATTTCTTCAATAATTCAACATAATTATTTCAATGTTTTATTACTTACTGCTGAAACGTAAATTACATTCAGAATCTATTACTGGAAAATCTAATATTTTGTTAATATTTTATGTACAAAGATAAAGGCCAATTTCTAATTCAGAGCAATTATTTGGTGGTTTTTATTACTTATCGCTGGAACTTACGTTAATTACATCTAGTAACTACTACCGGAAAATATAGACTCGTTAATATCTTTCCACAGAGACGAAATAATTATTTCGTTGTTTCATTCTTTTGTCGCTGAAATAAAAATTACGTATACACCGTCCGAATGATGCGAGGTAGAAAT